AAAAGACGAAAGCGGGTCTCTGGTTTCTCTTTGAAAAAGAGCATACTGCAGTCTTGGCCAGGTTCACATAGCTCCGTATCTCCGCTTTCAGGCTGTTACCTGATGGGGTCGCATCCGGGTACGCCGCCTCAGTTGACCCGGCACAACTAGGGCTTGGGCTTAATTAGGGTTTAGGGTTTAGGGTTTAGGGCCAGTTTAGGGTTTAGGGTTGAGGGTTTAGGGTTTAGGGTTTTAGGGTTTAGGGTTTAGGGTTTAGGGAATTAGGGTTCCTGGGCTTCAGTTTGGAGCTTAGATCGCCTGTGCTGCTTAGCCAGGGAACCATGATGTGGCGTACGGCTTGATCTGGGCGCTGATGCGAAGAGGGCAACTGACGAACCACTGGCCTGCCGTGCACAGCCAAGTCCAGCTGCATGTCACACATTGCTACCCTTAGGCACTTGGCGCGCAATGATGGCATGTTTTTCGCGAGTGCAACGCATCAGCCGCTCGAGCCTGTATTTTCCCACTGGGCGTACGGCCAAAAGCCAAATGGCTGCTAGCAACTTCCTTCCAGCAGTTCAGATGCGTTGCTGCTTATGCCTGTGCTTTGCGAGCTTGCAAGAACTCCCCGATCTAATTGCAGCAGTCCAAATGCACAGCCGAGGCTCTCTTTCTCAGGAGCTGCCCATGCCAGGACGACTTGAAGCTGCTGCCACTGGGCCTTGGACAACCGGACCTCCGGCTTCTGCGGTGCAGTGAAGGCCTGTCAGCACAAACATTCAAGCCCACGCTGCAAGCAGAACCTCACAGGCACACCCGCAAGCCTTCGTTTTTTCCGAGTGCCGCTGACGAGTCAGGACTCTCCGCCCTTTTCCTGGTCCTAAACGAAGTTGCTGCCTTACGCAATGCAGCCACAGGCTCTGTTTTCCCACCTCAACTGCTAAGCCCCCTCCCAGCTCACGACAGCACAGCGAGAGATCATGCGTCCGCTCATCACTCGACTGCCTACGCTATGGAGGCGGTCAAGTTTAACACGAACCTCCTCAGGAGAACTACTCTCAGACCAAAAGCCCCTCGATGAATCTTAGGGTTTAGGGTTCTTGCCACCTGCCTAGCAGCGAGTTTAGGGTTTAGGGTTTAGGGTTTAGGGTTTAGGGTTTAGGGTTTAGGGTTTAGGGTCAGGGGGGCAACCCGAAAAAAGCCCTTGTTGGGCCACTCCCCCAAAAGGGCCTCGTAGTCGTCGCGCACCAGCGCCAGCAGGCTCAAGATGGAGGACTCCACCCTCTCTTGCTCCTTCTGCTCGCCGAACCTCCCAAAGAGGCAGAAGGCGCAGAGCACGAAGCTGGCAAACCACGGGTTTGGGGTTTAGGGTGCAGGGTTTAGGGTTTAGATAGCCGGGCACTTGGCGACCAAGAAAATAGACTGCAGGAAGCTGATCAGGGACGAACCGGAACAAGCAATTCCAGATCGACCAACTACTATATACATTATGGGCTGTCATTTTGAATAGCTTGCCACTAAACAAAAACCCTAGCCTAGCTTCAAAGCCCAGCTCTCGTCTGGGCAACATGAAGGAAGTGACGCATTTTTGCAGGACGTGTTCTCTCTTGCTACCTGCTTCCTTGAGCTCCCACACAGGCCTCTTATCTTTTAAGGGCTCTCCCCCACCCTCTTAAATTTGGTCCAGGCGAAACGGCGCTCCCTTTCTTTTTCTTTCTTTGTCTTTCTTGCTTTCTTTCTTGAGGGCGAACCCGCGCGCACTCAGCGCGCCCCCCGTTTTGGGGTACTCGGCGGTGCTTGAACTCGGGGAGATATCCGATAACCCCCCCAATTCCCCATACGGGGCTCTCACCCTCCAAGCCCCCCTCCAGTGCGACTCTGGACTCTGGGGGTTGTCGGTTTGGGCGCGCTTCCGGACTGCAGAGCCAAAAATCCCTCCTTCTCTCGTTCTCCTTCTTTCTTTCTTTCTTTCTTTCTTTCTTTCTTTGGGGTGTGGGGGCAAGCCCCCGCGCAAGCGCACGACCCCGCTCCCGCATCACATGAAACGCCTCGCCAAGGCCACATCTCTCGCTCTCTCTCTCTCTCTCGCTCTCTCTCACTCTTTCCTTTCTTTCTTTCTTTGTTTTTTCTTTCTGTCTTTCTTTCGTTGGGGCACTCTCTCTCTCTCTCTTTTCCTTCCTTCCTTCCTTCCTTCCAGCCCACGCAACCCCCCGAACGTGGGCCGCCCCCCCAAAAACAGCGAGTCGGAAATGCTCGGGACGAGTATGTAAACGGATAGGGGCGAGCCAGAAAAAGATCCCCCCCAGTCAGAACTTGAACACCCGAAGCGGCGAGTCGGAAAATTTGGGGACGGGCACCGCTTGGCGTCCAGAAAGGTTTCGGGTGCCCTAAACCCTAGACCCTAGACCCCAAACCCTAAACCCTAAACCCTAAACCCTAAACCTGGGGCCTGAGACTTCAGGTTTTTTTCAGCTTGGCATGTCGAAGGGCTTTGGGGGGAAGCCTCTTCAGGGTTCGCAGCTCTACCTCGAAACCCCTCAACCCGCAACCCTACACCCTAAACCCTACACCCTCACCCTTAAACCCTAAACTCAGGGCCTAGGCCGCCCCCCTCGTTGGGGGGCGGCGCTTATTAAGCCTTTGACCTCGATGGCAAGCCGACCCAGGTCGCTCGCCCGCACTGGAACACGTTCTCCTCGGGACCAGTACTGGTCCCTTACAATGTTTTTACCCTCCCCAAGCCCTTGCGCCAGAAGGTGGCTGGCATTCTCGACGGGGTACCCCCAGGCCCGGACGCCCTCACAGCGTCTCCAGGGACCAGTCCCGGGGGGGTACCCCAGGGCCCCAGGGCAGGAGGACCCGGACCCCTCGCCGCAGCGTGTGCTGCCCCTTCCTCCGCCCTGGCCCTGGGCCCTCTCCTGGCCAGCCTCCCTGGCCTTGGCCGGGTCACTGAGCCGCTGCCCGGCCCTGCTGCCTGGCCCCCCCTGACCCCCTATGCCTCTCTCCTTTTTGTATGCAGCTAAGGACCTAGCCTCAAACCTTTCCCTTGGCTGAAAGTGGCCATCGGTGACGGAAAGGTCTTTTTTTGAAAGTAAGCGATTGTCATGAGTTTAGGCCTAAACCCTAAAAGGAATAGGTTTGGGTGGTTTTGGCACCTCGGACGGCGTGGGGAGGGAGACAAGTATTAGATGGCCCTCCACAATCGGGCCAGGACTGCTCTTCGCACCTGACGAGGCATTCGAGCCGCTGCTGCATCCAAACCTTCACAGCATCTACGCCCTGTCACAGCAAACCCTAAACCCTAAACCCTAAACCCTACACTCCAGATCCGCAAGGGCTCGCGGGTTGGCAGCCGAGGGTGCAAGGTTCCGAAGTTACGTGCTGGAGGGTCGGAGCAAGGCGAAGTTGGCTCTTAATCCAGGGATTCAGCAGGCCTGTCAAGGTTTGGGGTTTGGGGTTTGGGGTTTGCGGTTTGGGGTATGGGGTTTCGGGTTTAGGGTTTAGGGATCTGAGGGCCGTGGGGATTTAGGGTTTAGGGTGTTGTTGCCACCCGTCTAGGGTTTCGGGTTTAGCGAGGCCCTGTGTTTGAGTATACCAGTAGGTCGAGCCTGGCATGGAGGCCGTGCGTGGCGTCGAGCTCCACGAACGCAATGCGCAACTTGTTGAGTATCTCTTCAGCCCTGGGTAGGGCGAAGATGGGACAAGGGGTGCCTCCGGCAGTGCGGCTAACAGTTACTACTATTTGCTTAAGAACCCCGAAAGAATATCACATAATCATACCTGCAACGACCTTAATAAAGAATGATACTCTTTTTTTTGGGGGGGTTCTTAAGCAATTCGTAGATTACGCTGAGGTCGGGGCGATGGCTTCACTGCTGTGTCCAGAACCCAATTCATGAAGTCCATCGGCTGCAACGCACTCGCTTCCTTGACGACTACCCACTAGTTGTATCACAAGGGTTTAGGGTTTAGGGTTTAGGGTTTAGGGGTTTAGGGTTTAGGGTTTAGGGTTTACCACAGTGCATCGCATGTAAGCATGCGAGAACGGTCACACTAGGCAGTGACGCCATATCATGCAGTCACCATTGGGATGCCGGTCCTGCACCTCGTTCAGGTCTATCACTTTGAGTATCTTGCCTTTGTTGAGCATGGCTGGGCACAACTTGCGACTTTCACCTGGTGTGCTCACGATGGACGGTCTCTGCCCAAGGTGCGCTCGTCTACATTCATGTCCATGTAGAACCTGTGATCAGATCATCGCAATGTGTGTGTGGCTTTCAATTTTGCCACGGGCATGGCAAGGGGAGATGTTGAGTCCTATTGCATGACAGGGGACGAGTTGACGCGGCACGCTTTCTTGGCACAGTCAATGTCCAGGTCCAAGATTTCCGAAACCCAAAGATCGCGAGTTGCTTCAGCGTACTGGGCAAGATACCTGTGACAGCCACATGCAGCAGGGAGAATGCCACTGGCCGACCCGAGTGTAGCAGCAGATACTCGACAGCGAACACAGGTCCAAAACAGTGACCTGAGGACTTTAGCCAATGCCAAAGTGCTCAGTGGCATACTCGATGAACATGGTGGCGCACATCGGTGAGTTGGCCCTGAAAGAAACAGGAAAGCCGCCATCTAGGGTTTGGGGGTTTAGGATTTAGGGTTTAGGGTGTAGGGTTTATGGGACGAGATCCACGTCTGAAGCTGACTGCATCGACCGCTCACTGCTGCGGGGGCGCAGCAAACTTGCCAAGGATGTGGCAGAAAGTACGAAGACCTCAGTATGCCAAGCGGCTTGGGAAGCTAGAGCCTTGCATCTTTGCAGCATTAGGCTGCTGGATGCGCGACGGCATTCTTCGACGCTTGGGCTTCACGGCCACCAAAAGCCCAACGAACCAAGGGCTACTTGGATTACTACCTTCTTTTCTTCTTGCATTCTCATTCTCGTACATTCGTATACTCTATTTGATTACTACCTTCTTTTCTTCTTGTACTCTTATACTTATATATTCGTATTATCCTAAGTGCTAATCAGCTTCTGGCCCATTGCTTGCATTTGTGCTGCTCACGCGCACGCCTAGACCCAGGCACTGATGGTAGCCTTTGCTTGCACTTGTGACTGGACATGTCTCTGGTCTGATTAAGGTATGGCCGGTATGGGGAGTGAACACAAGCGATAAAGAACCCTGCGCCGCGAAGATACGCCCATGGTCTCGAATAAAGCCACAAAGGCAGATGACGACTGAATACACAACGGGGCCCGTGAACTTCAGCACCTTTCTTGAATCGGCAGCTACACGGCCGTGCACAGCAGCACTTGCGAAAATACACCTACAAGGAGCCCTTCTTAAGGGAGCTTGGTTGGGATGTTCCCCCCTTATACTAACAGTCCTGACTAGGGATTCTGGTAACCCCCTATCATAATCCATAAAAAAAGGACTGTTAGTATAAGGGGGAACATCCCAAAGAGTAGCCCTAAACCCTAAGCCCTAAGCCCTAAGCCCTAAGCCCTAAACCCTAAACCTAAACCCTAAACCCTAAACCCTAAACCCTAAACCCTAAGATGATAGCAAAAAGGTGCTCGGGGACAGTTTGTGCCCATCTGAGATCGCGGCTTCCGCGAAGGACTCTGCCTCAGCGGAGCGCGACTCCAATGAAGTTCAGAGGTTGCGGTTTTGGAGGTTGCGGTTTAGGGGTTTCTCAGTCTCTAACCCTAAACCCTAAACCCTAAACCCTAAACCCTAAGTTTCTCTCACTCTCTCTCTCTCTCTCTCCCGCACGCGTGGCCCCCTCTCTCACTCTCTCTCTCTCTCTCTCTCTCTCTCTCTCTCTTTCTCTCTGTTTTAGGTGTTTAGGGTCTAGGGTTTCGGGTTTAGGGTTTCAGAGGTTGGATGATGGCTTCTACACACTCCGAAAGCCGAATGTTGCTTCACAGCGCCCCCAAGGCTTCACCGGGTAGAGAAGAACCCAGATTTCATTTCGGGGGCTGATGTCATCTAAGGCCGCAGCTGTCAATGTGCAAACGTGCATGACCGCTTCTGCATACAGAGCGACCTCGCATGTTCAGCACGATATGGCGCCGAGCAGAGCTGCCATAGATACGAGCTGCACCGCAGATGACAGAAGCCCTACTGTAGCTGAAATGGCACTGGCCTCGGCAAAGTAGCGGTGGGCGCCCGAGAAGCGAACGACTTGCTTTGCAGACTCGTCAACACCTGAAACGGCAGCAGTCACACAGAACCACACCTGTAAGTTGGGATGCTCCCCCTTCTACTAACGGTCCGTAACAGGGATTCGAGTGCCCCCTATCAAGCACGGTTAATATTCAGGGGGTACATATCCCAACCTGCAAGGGACGCATCTGCTGTCAGCATCCCAAGGGAGCTCCCCCAACTTTAAGCAAGTGGAACCCTAAACCCTAAACCCTAAACCCTAAACCCTAAACCGAGCCTGGCCTATGGCATAGTCGCCATGACTGGTCACAAACATCGTCTCGGCAAGGGAGCCCACGCTAAACACAGATTCCGCCTGCCAAGCGACAGTCGCATATGGGTTTAGGGTTTAGGGTTTAGGGTTTGGGGTTTGGGGTTTAGGGTGAAGTGCTAGGATGAAGAGGCATCCATGCATATGCCTTTTGTTGCTAGGCGTCTCCTGATCATGCACTCCAAGAGGCCTCACTGTAGAAACGTTTTTGAAGCGCGCTGCAGAAATCTGCGAAGACTGGCCTGTCAAGTCAGGCATCGTCATCACACTCGCATGCTCAACAACTCTCAGTCAAGGAACAGAAGGTCGCCACAGGCTTGTAACGTTACGGCACAAGAAAGGCAGAAGGCCTAATCAACCACAACAAACAAACAAACTAGCTAACTAACAACAAACCAACAACAAACAACCAACAACCACAACCCTACTCCCCACAAGCCTTTAGACCATGTTAATTCTCAGCAAACCCTAAATAAACAAAAGCCTAATGCTCCAAACTGTCAGTCGTGGAACGCGAAAGCCAAACACGTAACAAAAGGCATATCGCGCAGACGGTCAAGTAGTAGGTGCATGGGGTGAACTCGCCCCTTATACTGCCCAGCCCTTAATAGGGATTCTAGTACCCCTACTATAATGCCTATCAAGGAGCTGTTAGTATCAGGGGTGGCTGGCATTCATACTTTTCTCAAGGCCGCAGGCGGCCAGGTTTAGGGTTTAGGGTTTAGGGTTTAGGGTTTAGGGTTTAGGGTTTAGGGTTTAGGGTTTAGGGTTTAGGGTTTAGGGTTTAGGGTTTAGGGTTTCGGGTTTTCAACCTCTGGTGCAAGCTTTAAGCATGCTCCAAGTCGCGGGAAGACGCTGGAAGTCAGGCTGAAAAGCGGGTGCTCTGTCAAGTTGCCTCAAGCCAGTGAAGATCCATCGAAATACTCCCCTTAGAGCCTTATTTAAAAAATGATATGTTTAACGCCCTCTTGGGTTTGCATAAACAAAAATACAAAAAATAGTTTCATCTAAAGAACCAGCCTCCAGCATGCCTTACTTTCGAAGTGTACTGCTTGAACTGCCATAGGAATCCTCGTATTATGATTTACGGAACATCCTCCCTTGATCACCCAGACCTTTGGGAGGATCCAAAAAGGTAAACCCCCAAACAGCACCCTTTACAACAATTGGGTCATTTCTGGGAACCCTGAAAAAAAGATCTGCTTCTTGGGTCCTCCCAGGGGTTTGATTAAGGGGCAGGAGCGCCTCTAGGGTGCTTCACGACTTGCTTCTTTCTCCCTAAACCCTAAACCCTAAACCCTAAACCCTAAACCCTAAACCCTAAACCCTAAACCCTAAACCCTAAACCCTAAACCCTAACCCTAAACCCTAGTTTCTCCTCGAACCCTTAAGTTTGGGGTTTCGACTCTCACGCTCGCACAAGGCAGGCAAGGCTAGAGCTTAGGGCTTGGGGCTTGGGGCTTGGGGCTTAGGGCTTAGGGCTTAGGGCTTAGGGCTTAGGGTTTAGGGTTTAGGGTTTAGGATTTAGGATTTAGGGTTTAGGGTTTAGGGTTTTTTTCGCTCCCGCATAGCTGGCCGAACCGCAAGGCAGGGTGATGTCGATGAGAAGTCTGTGTCGGAAAAAGGGGCCCATTATCGGACCTGGTTTAGGGTTTAGGGTTTAGGGTTTAGGGCTTGTTGTGCTACCCGCCCAGCTCGCCTAGGGTGGAGGTTAGGCTTTAGGGTTTGGGGCAACCCTGATACCCTCATGGCCTTATACCCTAATGCCCGGACGAGGAGCTTCCGAATTGGAAAGTTGCGAGCTCAGCTTGCAGCATAGGCGAGATGAGGGCGCTGTCATAACCAATCCTGCAGGGCGAGTCTTGCACGGCTCACAGAGCCAAGCAGGCATTAAAACTGCATGACGGATTTCTGAGCCCTTGATGCAGCATGTGCCGCAAGGTTTCGGAGACTGCCGCGCCATCTTGTAATCTGCGTAGCTCATGATGCGCATGAGCAGCCTGTCGCAACGAATGCAAGCAAGACACTGATGTCCCTGCACCTTCCGGCAGCAGCACCGCTGTCGACCCCAGCCAACCCTCCCCAAGTAATAGCGAAACACGTGTTGCAGCGTGCTTTGAATCCCTTCAACCTGCCGCGACGGGCACGTAGAGTCGGGCATATTTGGAGGGCCCTCCTTCCACCCATCAACTAGGTAGTTTACGCATGCCCAAGGAACAAAACCAGAAAGTTGCTGATCTGAAGTAGCGGCTCAGTTGGGACGGCTTTGGTCTGAAGGAAAATTCGCAGCTCGCGCCGCTTCCCTGCAAAACAGACGCAAACCACAGCGAAAACGACAGCTCTGAGCGACTGTGACACCGGTCAGTAACAATTTGCTGATGATTCCGAGGTTCTACTTCGTTCGTTGTTGACCTGGCGAATCTCTTGGAGAGTGCCGGTCAATATAGAAAGCGCCGAGCCAATCACCAAAACCTTGGCATGCAAGGTACCGGGCATGTTGCACGCGCAGAGTCGCAGCAACCCAGAGCTGGAACAAAGCGCAGCTTCGAGGCCGTTGTCACGAAAAGCAGCAAGGAGATAAGGTGCTCCAGGCCACTGTCCTTGCAACAGCTCCGTAACCAAGCAACTGACTTTGGGCAGCCCGGCAGAATCTCCTGATAAGAGGTGCACGACAGGTTGGGAAGAGGGACTGCCCACCCCAGAGAAAGCACAGAAACCCCCAAACCCTAAACCCTAAACCCTAAACCCTAAACCCTAAACCCTAAACCCTAAACCCCGGTCGGGACCATGCTTGCCATGCGACAGCCATGAGAGTGGGCGGAGCTGGAGGCAGCAAGATCCACCCAATCGAATGGACATACTGCACGTAGCCCGTGGAGTTGGTGATCGACGCAAGCTCTATCCTCAGAGCAAGTGGAGCAAGTCGGGAACATACACACCTCATGTCTGACCCGATGAGGATGTTCATGCTCATAAGATTCATACTAGACATTCGTGGTGAATAGTAAATATGGCAACATGACGAACAATACTAATGACAACAATAGCGACCTAAGGCCCCAGGCCCCTGACACATGCTTCTCTCATCTTCTCTCCAGGATTCCAACTGTCGATGTCGCTCGTCTCGGCCACTGCCTGGCGCCAGAGGCCGGAAACAGGCTTAATGGAACTCGGGTTTAGGGTTTAGGGTTTAGGGTTTAGGGCTTAGGGTTTAGGGTTTAGGGTTTAAGGGTCTAGGGCTCCCACCCCAGCGTATGGCCCCCTTGAGCTCTTCGTGTGCCCTGCCTTTCCGAGGCCGTACCAGATGCAGGCCATGATGTGGGCGATCATACCAATGGCCAGGAGCATGCGGCCGACGGTGAAGGCGAGGATGAGCCATTGGCGACCTGTAGATATCACCTCAAGGGAGGGTGAGCCTACGACATATGCCCCTAATATAGTCCCCCAAGCCCCAAGGAGTCGGCTTCCGTTATAATAAGGATCCCAATATGGTACCCCTCTCTCTCTCTCTCGCTCTCTCACAGGCGCTCAGTCAATATCGAAAATTCCCCTACGCAGCTTGGCAAAAAGCGCTGTGGCGAACACCATCCAGCGAAGCCGTGGGAGCTACACAGGACACAAGCACACGAGCTAGAACTCCTTTGGCTCCTGTGGCTGTGCACGCGAAGTCGGGTGCACTGCCCCAATGAACCAAAAGCACTGATCCCCATATTTCCCTGATGAGCAAGACATTTCTATTTTTGTTGTCCCTTTTTTTTTGGTTGGTGGGGGGGGGGGGTGGGGGGGAGGGACTGAAGCAAGGCCGTAGTCTCTACGAAGAGAAAAGCTGAGGGGGTCACCAGGTTCTCGAGCAAGAGGTTGATCTTGCCTGCCTTCAAGAGGCGGAGAATGCGCAGAGTTCCTTGGCACTCGTTTGGCGGTGGGGGGGGGGGGGGGGGGGGGGCGAATAGCATAGTTATGTAGTGACCGTAAGGGAATACAGGAGAGTAATTCTTCCGACCCCTGAGTACTTACCCTAGACCCTAAACCCTAAACCCTGAACCCTGAACCCTAAACCCTAAGCCAAGCACCGTGATTCACCGTGATCTAATCGCGAGCTGGCACGACCAAACCCAAAGTCAAGTACATCATGCGCCGCAGGACCGCTGACATGGACAACAAGTCGATGCCAAGAGCGCATGTAGATATGTATGGATATACACATATGTATATATATATATGTGGCGATCTGCGCTCAGTGCTGTCAGACTTGCTCGAGGCCACCCCCCCCCCCCTCCTAAAAACATGCTGCTGGACGGCCTCGCATCCTCCAACGTTGCCTGGCCGAAAAGGGCCGCATGATGCCACCAAGTCGCTGAGCAATCGAAGATATCGGGCCGATCGGAGGGATTGTAGAAATTCTTGGGACTGGTTTTCCTGGCCAAGACCCCCTAATGATGGTACACTTTCATGCTGAATAGGGTTGAGGGTTTAGGGTTTTGGGTTGAGGGATGAGGGTTGAGGGTTTAGAGTTTAGGGTTTGGGGTTTAGGGTTTAGGGTTTAGGGTTTGTTTATTCAATACTACGATGGCATAGCCTTAGCTACGTTGTTCCATTGCTACAGTGCTACATTTCTCACACTCGTCCACTGCTACATATCACGTTTCTTACATTCTAACAGTGTTACACGATGACATGCTTACCTTCGTACATTCTTACATTCTTACATTCTTGCATTCTAGCATTCTTACATTCTTACATTCTTGCATTCTAGCATTCTTGCCTTCTTGCATTCTTGCATTCTTGCATCACAAGTCCACTCTTACCTGATATATTATTATGATATGAGTATACTTGTAAAATTACAATAGTTATAATTTTATTACGTTGTTGCAGTCTTTTCATACTACGACATTAATTTGCAAATGCAGGCATTGTCGCAAAAGCGGCTTGTGTTACAAGCTTGGTCGTGCGCCCCGGCCTGCTAAACAAAGGTCAACAGAAACAAAGCACCCACCCGGCATTCCCTGAGCCTGTGTTCGTAGCTGAGGGGACGATTGACCGAAACTGGAGATGAGTCCGCACAAACACCCGGAGCGCATTCAGGAGGCCTGTCGTCAAGCTGAGGCCTCCTCGCTTGACGCACAAGCCGGAGCGCCGCGCAGCCTAGTGGCTGCGGAGCAGGACCCGCAATTCCTGAAGTAGGTGCGCATGCCGCACGACCAGAGGCCCAAATTAAGATATCTACGAGTATATTGAGAAGCAGCTGCAAGGGCGTGCTGCCCTGCCCAGCCCAAGGCAAGGAACTCTTGCCGCAACGGGACCGTCACGGCCAAGAGCAGGAGTATCGGACAAGCAGGGTGGCCGTTGGGGGGACAGAAGGCTGGGCTTCTCAACTTGTGACTGCAGGCCGGCACGGCCCGCCCAGGAGGCCAGAAAGTGGCGCAAAGAGGTATGAAGGGAACACCTGTCCAAGCTCCACTCGCACGTGGGGCACCACGTATCTGCGGAGGCATCCGGCGCACCTAAGCGAGGCCGCAGCTCCATAACGCCTCCGTGACGAAAGCCGCACACTCCATGCGAGCTCTGGCGACCGGGACAGTGGCAAGCCAGGCATGTGCCCCTGTTCATCCCCAGAGCGGAGAACAGCACCAATAGTGATGGTGGACACGGACAGGTGCAGATTCCAGCTGGCAGTGTCAAAAGGGTAGTCAGCGCCTTCTGCATCATGCCAAAGGCAAGGTGCACGGCCGGCAGTATACTCTTAAACCATTCCATGAATATGCTGCTGCATGCTTGTTTCTCATGGTTCACCTTTGTTACTGTTTTAAAATACCTATATATCCAACCTGCCTCTTCGAGCAGCATCATGAACCCGGCGGCGACATCAATGGCGACCAGGCAAACGTCGAAGAGGAACCAAGTGTGAATATACCGTGAAGCGATCGCCTAAGATCCGCACAGTTGATGAAGGAGGTCGAACCTAAATACAGATAACAATGTTGCAGCTTTACTCAAATCATAAGGCCAGAATGGAATGATATAGTTGTATATAAGTGAGAATCATCAGCAACCTCGCAGTCCAGTCCAAGGGTCGGTGCGCCCAGTTTGGAGGATGCCCTGCACGAAAAAGCCAGTGATAAAGCTGAGATAGATGTCCTCGGAAAGCGTTTTTTGCCACCCGCCTAGCCACGCATTGCGCGGCAAACTGTAGGAGAGAAACCATGCATTCTGAAATTCAGGGGCGGGGTGAAGGCTTAGGGTCTAGGAATGTCGAAGCAAGGTCTTTTCAATCTCGACAATCATCCCTACATCCCAGAGAGCGTGCCAGTGAGGAAGATCCCGAAGTCTTGACTCCGAGGCTCAATCGGCCAGAAAACCAAAGAAACCGATGCAAATATATGTAAGCCAACGTGGGTGGCAACATTTGGAGTCGGGAAGGGTGTCAGGGTCAGGTTCCAGGCCAGGCAGATGGGGAGAAGGAAGGCATCCATCAGGATCCTTACTTCTCCAATAACCAAGCGGAAAAAAGGTTAAACTTGAATATTCCTACGAAATAAGGAAACCCAAAAAGCTTAAAGCTCAACTAAAGGCGAAGTAAGGATCATGGCGGCGCTGGCCATGTCCCAAAGAATCCGAAACTTGGAGTTGGGAGGGATGATCGTGCAAGAATCGCACCGTTCAAACTCGCTACTGTAAGTCTTTGTAGACGACCTTGTTCGGGTAATCTCGAGCGCATTCCTCCATCGTTCCCGCCGAGCATTTCCCACGGCTTCGTTGGCCTTCATGGAGAGCTCCATCAAATGATGATTGAGTCGCAAGTTGAGCTTCTGCGACTTCCCTTGCTGAATGTCAGCTGTCTGTTGCAAAACCAATGCTCCAACTGGAAGCTCCTTTGCCACCTCCTCCTCTGTTGGCAACTGCTGCACGTCATCTTCCAGGAGCCACGTGTCTGCGAGCTCCGAGCCGTTAAAGCCGTTGAGGTCCTCAAACTCGTCCTCGTTTCTCAGGTCCTGGCGCGGTCAACTAGACGTACATAGCTCAATCTGGAAAGCTGAGGCAACCGCAGCGCCTCTTTTTCTCAGGCGTTCTGCATCATTCTGCTGCATGCTGTGCCATCGCGACTACTATTTGCTTAAGAACCCCCTCAACAAGATAAACAAGCCTATATATTACCCTAGGAAGAATAGCCATTGTTTTTTGGGGGTTCTTTAAGCAAATAGTAACCGCCGAAGACTTCGAAGATGCGCGAAGTGCGGGCATCCCACTTGCGGGATAAGGTCAGAACAAGTGATGTCTATACTTACCCTACTTAGAGCCCCACAAACTAATTGCCCAATGAACCTCCAAGCCAATCAGAGCTCAGGGTCGTGACGGGGGAAAGCCCTAAAGATTTGGGCCCCTAGACCTTAAACCCCAAACCCTTTTTGAACCCAGACTCTGCAAGTCAGCTGGCACGATGACAAATGCATCGTTCACATGCTAGAAAGTAAGAAGCAACCTCAACGCGAAGACCTGCAAATATGCTCGGGCCTCACAAGCACCCTTGCCGTACAGAGGGGCATCGTACGAGGGAGCTCTAAAAAAACATCAGTTCGCCAAGCACACCGAGCATAGAACCCTAAACCCTAAACCCTAAACCCTAAACTGCCCTAAACCCTAAGCCCTAAGCCCTAAACCGGGGCCCCTCCTCCTGCTTTGCCCGAATCCCATTGTCAGGGAACTGGGCATGGAGCTGGGACAGATCCGACTCGATGCCGCTCTGGAGCTCCTGCACCTGGGGGGTTTAGGGTTGAGGGTTCTTTTCCCACCCGTTTCGCAGGGTTTAGGGTTTAGGGTTTAGGGTTGAGGGTTGAGGGTTGAGGGTTGAGGGTTTAGGGCTTAGGGTTTAGGGATTGTCATTTGGAATGTTCCCCCTGAAACTAGGAGTCCTTAATAGGGATTGTGGTACCCCCTTTTTATAGGCAGTGACAACCGTTAGGATTCTCAGGGTTATCAGGGCTGTTCTCATTCTAAAACAAGGCCCTACTCCAGGTCCTAGAAGACTCCTGAATTCACCTACTGTTGGTTAGAAGGGAATGACGGTATATACACCCTTTAAGGGATTATATAGGGTACCTCATCCTAAACCCTAAACCCTGAACCCGTAACCCATACCCCCAAACCCTAAAAACCTACACCCTCAACCCTAAACCCTAAACCCTAAACCCTCAACCCTCAACCCTCAACCCTCAACCCTCAACCCTCAACCCTAAACCCTAAACCCTAACCAACAGCAAGTTCACAGCGGCCTGGACCTGGATCTGATCGAAGGACTTGCGCAGCTCACGCTCGGCATCAGCAAAACCTGAGAAGCTTCACGATCCCCCATAGGGTTTAGGGTTTAGGGTTTAGGGTTTAGGATTTAGGGTTTAGGGTTTAGGGTTTAGGGTTTAGGGTTTAGGGTTTAGGGTTTAGCCCATTTTGACGCACGTCACTTCATGGCACTTCCGATGAGTGAAGGCTATGTGCACCCATGGCCGGACCGCACATCCCCCATTCGCAAGAACGACCCACGGGTTTCCGCACCCCCCCGGGTTTCAACCGAAACCTTACTGTTGGTTAGAAGGGAATGAGGGAATGAGGTACCCTATATCCCCTATATATATATATATGTATACCCTTTAAGGGATTCTATGGGGTACCTCATTCCCTCATTCCCTCCTAACCAAGAGTAAGAAACTTAACATCCTGGCAGTTTCAGGACCAATGGTCCCGAACGCATACGCACCGGACGAAAAGGAGGTCCGCGCTATGCGGCACCTAACGGACACACACACACACACACCCACGCACGCACGCACGCACGCACGCACGCACGCACGCACGCACGCACACACACACAGACAGAGAGAGACACACAGACACACACAGACACACACAGACACACAGACATGTGAGCGCGCCCGGGCAGAGAGAGAGGGAGAGAGAAAGAGAGAGAGAGAGAGGCGAAGAAGTTCGTCGGGCGAATACTAGCGGGAGGTCGAATGACAGGAGTTTCCCAGAAACGTAGCTTGTGCAAGCTTCCGCTGAGGGCGTCACGCGTTGACAACACTGACTGGATCTCCTTCTCCATGGCAGAGGCCAAGGATGCCAAGTGGCCCCAAAACCCTCTTTGCTTCTTCTTCCATGCTTGCGGTGCTTGGCGCGGGCTTCGTCCCTCCGCACACTGCGGACCCTTGCTGTCATGCCTGACTGTTCATCACTAGCCCCTCACTTGAGCCAACTTCTGGATGGCAGCCGCTTGCTTGCAAGTGCAAGTGCACCACTCACATGATGACTTTATGTGATGTCTGCCGCTGTAGGCTGCGCACGTCGAACTTTTCGCACAGCTGACTTCCACGAGTACAGGTTTGGAGTTTCTGCCGCATGACAGGCGCCCTCTGTTCAAAGCAAATTCTTCGTTGAGACTTGAACGCCTTTGACGTCCAGTCCGTATTGCAGTGGGTTGCACACTCCCGGGCGCATTGCCTCCAAGGGAAAACTGGTGCTCAGAGCCGACACCAGCAGAGAGATGCCAGCCTACTATACAAACCTCACGTGAGCGGTAAGCACGTGAGCCCCGGCCAAAATCAGTCACCCGTTTACTCGAAGGGCGTGAGTCGGGACGACATCCTAGGAGGTGTTGGGGGTGTGGCTTGTTTGTTCTGTGCGGTCAAGCATCGTTCCTAAGGCCCAAGGCTACCCCACCAATAACCGATCTTCATCTCTGACTAAAGCTGATAGACACTGATTTTGACGGTCGCTCACGTAGGCACTCACGTAAGCACACGGACCCAGAGCTACGAATCTGAGATATGTAAACACACTGCAACATTTGCGCAAGATCAAGATCAAGCCTTTCCTTGCCTAGCTCTTCGCAGGCAAACTGACAAGCAAGAGTCGGTTTGCATGTTTAACATGCAAACCGATGAAAAGCATCAAAATGGGGGACCCCTAATTTTTCGACCCCCAAGTAGTCGGATTCCCTTGATAGTAAGGACCCCAAATAGGGTACCCCCCCATGATGGGAACCCCCCAAAGGTTCCACGGATTGAGCCATGCTCAGTTGACTTCGCATCGTTTGTGTCACAGGCCATGCTGACCATCAAAAGCGGCCTCGGCATCCCATAAACCCTAAACCCTAAACCCTAAACCCAAAACCCCAAACCCTAAACCCTAAACCCTAAACCCTAAACCCCGCTCCCCACGTCACCAGCCGCAAAAAGCAACGCAGAAGAGAAGGGCTGAACCTGTGGAGCTGAGGCCGGTATTGGGCCGTGTAGGCTTTTGCAGATTCAGGGTTGAGGATTTAGGGTTTAGGGTTTAGGGTTTAGGGTTTAGGGTTTAGGGTCTAGGGTATTTTTCTGGACACACCTTGGCCCGCCACCTGCCTAGCTGACCTGATCGAGATCTCCACATTTTTCCCAGTCGATGGCATACAACTCGGCTCCCTAAACCCTAAACCCTAAACCCTAAACCCTAAACCCTACACGACCAGCTGCAGCACCCCAAGTCTAAACTCCATCACGATTAATATGACATCAATTCCCGTGGCGAAACGAGCATGTCCTACTCAGTGGGCTTAACTTGCAGAAGAAGGAACTCCCTAACCCTAAACCCGAAACCCTAAACCTTAAACCCTAAACCCTAAACGTTATCAGGTTTCTGTCGAATTACCAGCTGATGAATAGGAAAGGCTCATCAGTGCCATCATTGTCAGCCGGCTTGCTCATTCGTGCCGAAAAGTGCATTTGAACGAGCAGCGTGTCCATTATTGCTCTCTGGTGGTCGATGCCGCCAGAATGCTTCATGCCGTGAATCTCCCAACTTCGTTGTAAGGGCCACTGTGGCGACCACCAAAGCCACTAGACGACAAGGCTGAATTGAGGCGTGGACAACCCTGTGGTAGAGGACTAAGAGACCAGCACGGGCAGGCGAGTCCCTTTGTGAGCGTGGTTTGCGGGATTTGGCTGAACATGCCAATCTTGGACAGAAAGGGGACGGCAACACTAACCGTCAGCATTTCCGCCATGATGCACACGCAAGCGATTTGCTCCACCTGCAATCATCACCTGCATGCACCGACGTTCCTTGTGTTCATTCACGCTGGTAAACCCGAAGCTGTCCATATGCATCACCTGGTGGTCGAATCGTGATGCTGGGCCGGTTTCAGGTGAAACCAAGGTAGTGAAGTCAGCCCAATGACGGCACTGGAGCACACACACACACACACTCTCTGATGACGGTCCTTCAGAATAGTAGAGAAATTACAAAGCAAGTGTGGCCGGACCGTGTCGTGACAGTCTTCGGCCATGTCTTTTTCTCGTAGAAATGGTGCCACGAGGCATGAAGTGCGCGCTGGGGCGAGGAATATCCCTTGAGACATCGTATTCGGGTTCATGTTCCCGGGTTTGCTGTACAGGGTTTACATGTGAAGAGGCGACCCTAAACCCTAAACCCTCAACCCTCAACCCTAAACCCTAAACCCTAAACCTTAAACCCTAAACCCCAGTACCGCAAGCCAAGGAGCAGCTCATCACTGCCACTTCATTCAAGGGCGTGCTGATCTGAAGACTCTCCTGCGGGAGGTTTAGGGCTTAGGGCTTAGGGCTTAGGGCTTAGGGTTTAGGGTTTAGGGTTTAGGGTTTAGGGTTTAGGGCAGGGTCAGAACCAGGTATGTGCTGCATCAAGCTCGATGGGTCAGTGCGAAGTCCAAAAGCAAAAGCAGTGTGCTCCTTCTCATCATCCTCGCGCTTGCGCGTCTGCACAAGCTCTCTTACCGAGCTTGCCAGCATAACGACATCTGTATGGGGCTCGCTGACCTCCGCAGCTTGCAAGCCGAAGTTGTGACAACATGAGTAGATTGCGAAAGTGTTGGTGCCAAGGGCAGGCCGGCACCTGCACTACAAAGTGCCTCAGACTTGCCGCACAATAACTGCAAACTCATCTGAGCTTCGTCTGAGTCACTCTTCTCCAGTTCTCCTGCGTCATTTCCAAGAAGCATCGTCCTTCCTCACAAAAAACGGTCAGCCCGGACTTCAGGGAGAATATGCAGAAGACCAGAGTTCATCAACTCCATCCCGAATTGCATACAGGTTTCCTTGATTTGAAGCTTGGATCTTGAAAGGCAAGTCTGGAACACAAAGCCTCGGATGGCCAGTCCGCGAAGCACAGCGACAAAAGTCATATCATCGGTTCCACATGTTTCTAGATTAAATATCATATAAAATAATCTAGCAAGTATAAGGAAATATCCTTAGTTTTTGTATTCATGTACTTGATTCTTTATGTATTTTATGTCTCTAGAACATGTGAATATTTTAATATGAGAAGCATTCTACATATATATATAGAATAACAAATAGATAGCATATAGTCCGTAACGTAGATAAGAAAATGTACATGTATAATACAAGGTTTTGGGCCTGTCTGTTACCAAGGCTCCGTTCTGCACCATGAAGATGAATGCTGCCAGATCGGCCAAATCGACAGGGACGGTCTGCCCTGAGCTGGACAGAGAAATCATGGCCCCACATCATACTTATATGTATATATGTACACATATATATATATATATATGTACACATATATATATATATATGGATGTATAATCTATAGCATCGATGACGCTGTCGCATACACACACACACACATATATATATATATATACATATATACATATACATATGATATGAGTATAGTATTCATTTACATGTTGCCTTATATTGTTTTGAATATTGTTTTACGATTAGAAATTATACATCTGTGAGGTGCAAGATGCCTGTGCCAGTTGCCGATGAGCGAACTGCGCGCAGCAGCTCCACCAACACCTGCTCAGCCGTTCGTGTACATATTATGTTTAGGGTTTAGGGTTTAGGGTTTAGGGTTTAGGGTTTAAGGTTTAGGGTTTAGGGTTTAGGGTTTAGGGGCTTTGTTTGGCCACCCGTCAAGCCATGCTCCACGGGGGAACTGTAGAGAGAAACACTTTGCACAGTTCACTTCAGAGCCCAACTTTACGATATTTTTAGGGGGTACACCTGGGTTTTAGGGTTTTAGGGTTTAGGGTTTAAGGCTCAGCCATTCCTTTTCACATGGGGGTTTCCATAGGTGCTCATATATGGGGGTTTAGGGTTTAGGGCGTGAGGTTTGCCTGGACCACAGCAGACTTTGAACTTTGAACGCCTGACAAAATCCACAAGAATGCGGACCTCCCGGTCAGAACCAGTCAAGGCAAGACAACTGCCCCGACAGGGCGCTGAATATCCCCCCCCCCCACCCTGTCTACTCTGCCCAAAAACTGTGTGTTAGGAGACTGGTCTGTTTCCACTGCTGCAAAGGTGCATGTTTCCACTACTGCGTAGATAGAGGTATGGGTTGCCACCCGTTGTGTTTTTTGAAGGCCCCAATTTAGGGTGTTTTTGCCGCCTGTCTGGACATGCTTCCACAGGGCTACTGCAAAGGTCTCGGAGCCCTGCTACAGAGCAAGTTTAGAATAGGGTTTAGGGTTTAGGGTGCGCAGTAGAGTTTAAGAAGCCGGGAGGGCTTTGTGCCACCCGCCGGTTGCGACGCTTGGGTACACTTCTCGGTGTGCAAATTCTTCTCCCTATCGTTTCTCAACCTCATCGGCCTCATCCCTGAAGGAAGCCAAGCGGTTTACGGGTTGACACTTTCGAGATCAGAGCTCCTCACTTGAATGCAAGGCCTGCCCATGTAACCCCAAAAGCCCGCCCATCCTGTACTAAAGTCTGAAGCACGAGGCCCACCAGACCTGCACAACCCTTGGCCGCCCTTGAATCCAGATCATTCGTCTCACGCCGAGAAGTGTCCCTAAACCCCACACCCTAAACTTAAACACTTTTTTGCACAGGCTTGCGTGAATCCCGCCCTAAAGCCGAAACCCTTTCTTGCATCCGTGCTCTACGCGATGTCTGCCGGAACCAAAGACCCAACGCGCTTCGCTCCATCTCATTGCCCTAAACCCAACCCTAAACCCTAAAGCCTAAAGCCCCAAATCCTAAACCGAGCCATGCTCTGCGACCAGTGCGATACAGCCTCGAGCAAGGTCGGGACAGTGACAAACGGGTTCTTCTTGGCGCGTTCCAAGCATAAGGGCAGGAACCTCATCGCACCAGGATGCCGCACGATGCCAGGAAAAAAACACTCACAAGCCCAACTCCGCTGCGAGCTTCCTGAGCTCGTCCGGCAACAAAACATGCCAGGTGGCTCCAAGACGACCGCGCGGAAGCCAATGCCATCTGCCAAGAAGTGCTTGACCAACTCCTTCCTTTCACCCTTGCTGAGCTGGTCCCATGCACTCTGCAGCTCATCGAGGTCCTGGCAAGGCGGGGCAGGGCTGTGACCATGTTTAGGGGTCTAGGGTTTAGGGTTTAGGGTCTAGGGTTTAGGGTTTGGGGTTTAGGGTTTACGGTTCAGGGTTTAGGGTTTAGGGTTTAGGGTAACTACTGTCGCCCACCGATGTCCTGGTCGGATTGGGCACGACACAAGCCTCATCAGGATCAAACACCAGCTGCTTGTGAATGCAACTCGCCCCGGTGGCAAATCCCACAAGGAAAGGCTTTAGGGTTTAGGGTTTAGGGTTTAGGGTTTAGGGCTTAGGGTTTAGGGTTTAGGGTTTAGGGTTTCGGGTTTAAGGGTTTAAGGGTTTAGGGTTTTAGAGTTTCTCCGAAAACCTGAGCAGGCCAAGGGTCATGCAAGCCGCAAGACGGCCAGATCCTCCGTGCTGCTGGCTTTTCGTCCCAGCTCCACCCCACGATTGTGGATGTAAGTCCAGTAGAGAGCTGCTGGGTCCTGCCGAGTTTTTGGACTTGGGAGGCATCACGGTTTAGGGTTTAGGGTTTAGGGTTAGGGTTCAGGGTTTAGGGTTTAGGGTTCCCACGCTCTGGTTCCGACTCCCAAAGGGTTCAGGCCTTTATGAGGACCTGCTTCAGGATGGACAAACCAAGGATGGTGGCTTTGGCATTGTTGTGCGTCATGAAACGCGAGCCCTGGCCGCCGGCTAGGCCAGACAGAAAGCCCAACAAGAACAGCACCTCGGGCAACACATAGGATTTAGGGTTTAGGGTTCAGGGTTCAGGGTTTGGGGTTTAGGGTCATAGCTACCAACAGACAAGCCAACACTGATGCTGAGGAATTATTCGCTGACGGCTCTTGCAAGCTCTACGGCCAGGGCGCGTAGAACTTCAAGGTTTCTTCGCCTCGCTTCGAGCGTACAAGATCGAATGCCATTCGGTCCGGCTCAATCCCTCTGTCTGCATCTCGGTTGCCACTTCTTTCATTTATGAAATTCTTCAGCTGCAGCAAGTTGGCTGGAACCTGAACTGGCAATCATGGCGCTCCCCGTCGCGCCGTGACATGCGCCACACCCAGATACCCGCCTTTCTGAATCAGTCGGGCTAGGCTCCAGAAGAAGTACTATCTGGACTCAATGACAAGATAGCTGCTCCTACATCTACTCCACTTAAACGACATCCACAAACTGATGCGTAGGACATACGAGCTGAAACGTGAGTTGAAACTGCGATGCGTCGCTGGTCCCAAATGCCAAGTCCGAGCCCAGTTGCATTCTCACCTTGCAGCATTTGGTGTGACAGAGGCGTCCAAAGAAAACAACGTGAAGTTGGGTGCAAGGCGACAAGGCAGCTGACAGGCACACAGCCGGCAGACCAAACTCGCACCTTGCAGCATCTGCGCGAAAATGAAATCGTGCTGCAGCTCAAGGGTGTCGTCCCTGACGTGCCCAGGAAGCCACATGCAAGCCACATGCAAGCAGCGCACAGATCAGAGAACAGGATAGATAGCGTGATAACAGAGGATCCACAACAGCAGGCGAGATGCCGATCCTCAGTCAGCTGAAGCCCTGTTCCCAGTTGCAGGCAAGGCACACAAGATGTCGGACATCTTCCCCGAAGCTGTAGATGGAAGGCACAGCGTCGGGGTAATGGTCCTTACACGAAGTCGAAGCAACAGTTGAAGGTTTAGGGTTTAGGGTTTAGGGTTTAGGGTTTAGGGTTTAGGGTTTAGGGTTTAGGGCTTAAGGTTTTGGGATCTTCGCCTTGCAATATGGCCCGCTTAAATGGAAACAGAACAAAGGGCGGTCTGAGTCTTGAGGTTGCTGGACTGTGGGAGAAGCGGGCTTCGACTTATTCTCTTGTCGGTGTAGGGTTTAGAGTTTAGGGTTTAGGGTTTAGGGTTTAGGGTTTAGGGTTTAGGGTTTAGGGTTTAGGGTTTCGGGTCTAGGGTTTAGGGTTTAGTGAGAGGCCAGGTGGGGGCTACTGGCATCGGACTCTCGGGGAGAGGGGGCGGGCCTGCAAAAGTGCGAAGTGGCACATGACCCATCTCCCCGTTACCGGAGTCGCAACGCCAACTTCGCTGGCTGTTTGCTCAAATTTGCTCAAGCTCGCTGTCTGGCACTTTTCGGGGCACACGACGTTTTGACATGCACCTCAAACCGAGAAGCGCGGGCTCGAAATGCTATCCGAACTTCTTAATTGGAGGATTCTTGAGTTTGAGCGCAAGTTGAAGCGGCGCCACTACGCATTGCATGCGCCTGGAACTGGAACAGTCGCGAATCTCGCACGGACAGGCACGCTTCATCGCAAGCGCATGTCATGTGGACCACATGTGCAGCAAGAAACTTGCAGTGGATGCACGGGTTCCATTTAAGGCCAGTGTCTAAGACGAACAACACGGCCTGGTCTGGGCGTTGATGTGCCGAAGGCAGCTGGTGCGTAACGGACCTGACTGGTATTCATCCGGGGCAGGGCTGTGAGACGGATCCAGCTCTGCACTTGTTCAATCATGTTCAGTCATCACTCTCCATACTTCTCCGGAAAGGCGAGCAAACCCCAAGCCTGAAGATGCACATGGGACATCGCAACACAGGGTACGGTACACCCCTCTCAGCCCTGGCCCTAAACCCTAAACCCTAAACCCTAAACCCTAAACCCTAAACCCTAAACCCTAAACCCTAAACCCTAAACCGTAAACCGAAAAGAAGCCCTATCAGCCCTATCAGCCCTGTCAGCCCAATCAGCCCTGACAGTCTCCAAACGCCGGCCTGCACTTGCCGATGCCCCTCACGGCAAGTAGAAATATCGCGGCCGTCAGCTTCCTTCGAACATCATCGATGATCTTGCCATGTGGGGTTTACGAGTTGGGGGGGGTGCCTTATTGGGATCCTTATTATTTTAAGGGAATCCTACTATTTGGGGGTCTATTTTAGGGGGCCCCTGATTATCGTAGAGCCCCATGTGTGGAACTCAGATGCCAGCAGAGTATGCGACCGAACGCACACAGTAATGCCAAGCCACTCTCGATCAGGCGCAGACCACGCCACCACACTTTGCAGTTGCTGCCACTGGTCTGGCGTCAACCGGGCCGCGGGCTTCTGAGGCGCGGTGTAGGCCTGCGCGCGCGGTGACCAGGAACGTCAAACATGTTTTGAGCTCTTGGCGAACCTCGTAGTTGCCGCGGACCAGAGCAATCAAACTCAAGATGGCAGACTCTGCCCGCTCCTGCGCCCAGCAGGGTTAGCCGTTTAAACCTTTGCTTGTTCTGCATGAGTCTCATGCTCAAAAGAGTGGCCCGGTAACCCCCGCATGCCGGTTGCCTCTAAAAATCTATCAGTTTACTTGGCCCGTGATAGAGCCGTGAGTATCGATCACTTGACTGCTTGATCGCGAATCACGGCTGTATCGCGGGCTATATAACTAACTCAGAATTTGTTTAAAGAGGTAACCAAACACAGGAGCAACCACAAAACTCTCATTACATGTGCTGAGTTGAAAAGACATATGCGCGCCATGCCGAACCTCCATGTGGACCGGCATAACCGCACATGTTGCTACTAGAACACCGTGTGCTTGAAAGGCTGCAACCATTCATTCCTTCGCAAAGCCAAGTCCGGATCAGTCCCCTGTGGTTGCAAGCGCGGCCAACGTGTCTAGTCCAGCTGTGCTTGCCCTTCCCGCCCTACTCCGACAGTCCATCTCTTTGAATTTGAAGGGTCATCGGCGCACAAGCGCACCCAGAAACCAAAGACAAGCAAAGTAGCATCATGGCCTGCGTAAAGCAAAACGATAAAACTCTCTGCAAGCCAGCCCGATCATGTCCGAACACTAAATCGAAACCAGGATCTGCCCCGATTCTACTGCGCGCATCGATTCTCTGGACCCGTATCCGGAGAGACATTCTGTTCTGTATTCTACGGGCAACTGAGTATCAACTGGTACCGCATCAAGAAAACTCCCGCTCCTGCTCCTTCGCGTCCGAAAACCTGACCAGGGCTTGCATTCAGGTCCGTGCAACCACTGAGCCAAGACCCTAAACCCTAAACCCTAAACCCCAAACCCTAAACCCTAAACCCTAAGCCCTAAGCCCTAAACCCAAACCCCAAACCCTAGCCGCTCACTTCCCCAGCCAAAGCTTACGCCTGGCATGGAGGCCGTCATCGGGATCCAGCTCAACGAAGGCATCCCGCAGCTTAGTGACCACCGTCGCTGTCCTCGGCTGAGCAGGCCCGGGGGCCTGGGTTGAGGGGGGGTTTAGGGGTTTAGGGGTTTAGGGGTTTGGGGTTTAGGGGTTTGGGGGTTTAGGGGTTTAGGGTTTAGGGTTTAGGGGTTTAGGGGTTTTAGGGGTTTAGGGGTTTTGGGGGTTTAGGGGTTTGGGGATTTAGGGTTTAGGGGTTTTAGGGGTTTAGGAGTTTAGGGGTTTAAGGGGTTTAGGGGTTTAGGGATTTAGGTTTAGAGCATGCAGCGGTCGTCTTGGCCAAGGCTCGGCTCGTCTGACTCGAAGACGCTGTCGATGAACTCCTTGGGGGTGATGTGCTTGGTGTTCTGGTCATCGTGGTGACGCGGTGTCTTCGTTGTCCGAGCCCGGTGGTTGAAGGACTTCGTCCGCGTCATGACCACATCTGGAGCACGAGGGTGGGGGTGAGAAGGGAAGGGCGAAGAAAGACAACACCTGGAAACGCCACTCACCGATGCTCCTCAGCGCGTTTGGACTGTTTAGGGTTTAGGGGGTTTAGGGTTTAGGGCTTACGGGTTTAGCGCGGCGGCCTCCAGATCCAAAAGAGCTCGCCGACTCGGACTTTCGCAGACTTTGACTCCTCGGTCGCGGGCAGCACTAGGAAGCCCAAAGGACGGAGAGAGCGACACAGCCAGGAAGGGCAGAGCACACAGTAAGAACCCCCTGGTTCTTAATTGGGAATGAGGGAATCAGGGCCCTACGTATACCCTTCATTCCCTCATTCCCTACGAAGAACCAGCCAGAGAAAGGAGAGGCGGGAAGAGAGACCTTAGGAGAGCAAGTGGAGGGCGTCAAGGACGGGAAGTCCTTGGGACCTTCGCCCTTCTACTAACAGTCCTTAATGGGGATTATAGTACCCCCCTGATCAGTGCTTACTGCACGCGGACACACTTTTGGCAGCAAGTAGCACCATTGTTGGCAGGCCCCAGCCTGCCTGTCGTCACTCGACCCCAAGGCAGACCAGGCCCTGCTTCAAGAACTCCAGTTGGGGAGAAGCACACATGGGTGTAACAGTTCATCATCCGCGGCGGCTCCGCTGCACCATCCCTTCAGCCGGGCCGGGCGGGCGAGACTTTGATAAACTATCGGCTGCAGTGATCGGCAGCCGGCAGATCAAACAAGGAAGTCAAAGCAACATGCTGACACTTCGCATGACATGCAGTAGTGATCGTACCACACACGAGGCGTGAGGTAGCCCATCACTACTTACTGCACGCGGACACACTTTTGGCAGCAAGTAGCACCATTGTTGGCAGGGCCCAGCCTGCCTGTCGTCACTCGACCAAAGCGCAGCCGCTGCCAAAAGTGTCTGGCCGCCTTGACCAACTGCCAATCAACGCGCGGACCAGACGCCTGCTTTGCCACTCAACACGCAGACACCCGCAGGTCGACCCTCGTCAACTGTTAACTTCACTCGAAGCTAAACACAACGTAGCACACGCTGCGCGCGCTCTGCGCGCAAGCCCGTACGCACTCATGATGCACCAGAGATCGACACTCGTCGATCTGATGGCCTCACTCGAGGTCCAAGAACTTAGAATCTTAGAACAATTGCAGGCAGCTGCGAACAAATGCCTCCTGCACTTCCGGCGCTTGGGCCACTCACTGCTGCACGAGAGAAGCTGGGACCAGTCCAGATATCTGCGCTTGCCGCCATCCAATCGTTTCCACAACGCAGGGGCCTTGCAACGTCCTCTGGACAACGCATCGCCCCACGGATTGCGCTCGCCGGCCACGTGCGAGATCTTGAGCACGACACCGTGTACTGCTGAAGATCGACACCATGCTTGGTGATTCACCTCCAGGACACGCCACCCAGCACTGATTGCAGGACTCGAGATCACCGACTGCACTTGTCCGGACGACGTAAGCGAGCGTTGAAGCTCTGGAAGCTGACGCGCATCGAGGTGCCGAAGGACCACCTGGCTTGGGCGGTAAAACAAATCCCGCAGCCAGCATCTACGCGAAGGCGACAGGCTAGCGAACCAACACAGCAAGCCCAAACACTTCTCTAATTCCTTGCGCGACACCCAAGATCCTGACTGACACAGCGGTTCCAAAGCCGCAAGCAAGCGCTCACGTTTGTCTTCCGGCAGCATGGCTCTGGTCGCAACTCGCAACGATACACCCCAGCCGACCCACTTGAGCGCGGTTCCAAGCCTCAGCTTGCGCCAGCTTCGTGGCAGGCCTAAGGCCACGGCGAGGCAGATAAGAAGACAGGCATCGCTCCCTGCCTTGCCTCGCCTCAGAAGACCGAGCAAGTCGTCTACATAATTAATTACATGGCAAGAAAGTGCCGGCGCCGGAGCAGACGATGGCCAATGCGAAAAGCACGCCGCAGCCCTTGACCACCAATAGGCCGCCCCGAAATGGCACGTAGCATAGCACAGCCAATGCCGGCACCCGTGCTCATCAATGACTGCAAACAAAGAATGACCTTGATCCTCCTGTGCTACCTTGACCCGTTTGTGTGCCTTGGCGACGTCCATGATGAAGCCGATCCACTCCTCATCTGGGTAGCGCGAGAGAAACTCGGCCACATCCTGAGGTGACGGCATTTCTATCCTCTCCCCAGTTCTGCACGGAAGATTGGCCCCAGAAACTGTACTATTGCCTACAAGGCGCGGCGCGCTGCCCTTCTTGACCATACCCAACTTGCCAGCCGCGCAAGCATTTCCGAAGCAGGCGTGTGCCTCTTCCAGAACGTCTACTGGACGCCACACACCTGACGGTGGAATACTTTTCCGAATCCCTGATAGGACGCCCGACTCCAAAAGAAGGGATCAACATCCACATCCGCAAAGAGAGATAGCATGCCTCGCAACAACTCCAACGCAAACGGCTGTCCCGGAGCAACCGCAGCTGAGCAGGACAGGCCATTGTCACTCAGAAAGGAGCAAAGATCTGCACGCAAAATCCCTGCTTCTTCTTCTTCACTCAACAACGGCTTCTCACACTGCCCCAGCCGCCTCTCCAGCTGCCAATGCATTGCACGCTGCAACCACACATGACGTAAGGGACATTCATGCCGCCACCGTCTCGAAGCCGATTCTAGGCGCCTTGGTCTGAGTCTGCAAACCATGGCTGCTCCGGGGTAGCCTCCTCAAGCTCTTGTCACTGCCCACACTTCTTGGTGCACCGCTGGAATCCATGTTGAGTGCTTCCACAACGTGCACAGTAGTGCTTGCAAAGGCAGTCCCGATCGGAGCACTTCCCGTCCATCCACGTGAAACACTCACCCAACCGTGGTTTTGCGGCGTTGACGGGACTCGCAGCAGGACGGCGCCGCTTGAGGGGCGGCGCAGAAGAAGTTGGCGGCGGCGGGGCATCCTTCGCCGTGGGGGACAATGGCGGCTTCCCTGGCCCACGCTGTAGTTTTGGCATCTTGGGCCGCGGTATGAGCAGATGTCGCAAGATCCCTATCCACAGTAACTGACGAAAGGGCATCATCCAGCGTCGCTCCGGCGTAGCATAGGCTGTAAACCTCTTGCAGCGCAGCCTTATCCGCCTCCTCTGCTTCAGCAACAGTTGGTGGCTGGTGGACGGAAGTGCTCTCCAACATCAGCCGTGTAGTACTCGGGACTCAAACTAGCATGAACAACGAGAATACGTCTAAATTGGCAGAGCATGCTTGATATCCAAGAGGTTTCCCACGCTGCGCCAGGAGGAAGTCTCTCACTGGGTGTGCACGCCGAAGCTCGCGGGTCTCCTCGTAGAGTGCATTTGCCCAAGAACAACCGGAAAGGCCGCAAGAAAGCAGAGCCCAAGTCATGCCACGCTTGCTGGTTTTGGTCCTCCATGACCAGCCCCGCACGGAATCGCTATCTCGCAGAACTGAAGTCAAGGTCATCCGTTGTACATCTGACCACTGTAGACTCGCCCACACGGCACCGCGCACAAAAGTAGCTTGTCATCACCGGGATCGCCCAACACAGCTGTTTCGAGCCGCAGGACAACTATCAAGGGTAGCGGTAGAGCTTCCTTTACACGTTGCGGTTTCCAGCTATCCTGCGCCAGCCAAGCTGAGACCAGCGGGCTGTGCACATCCAATTTGACAAGCTGAAATTTGTACGCTGCAAACCGCACACCCCGCAGAACACTCTTTGCAGATCGAACGCGTCCAAAGCCACGATTCATAGAAGAGCCTTCAGCAAGGCTCGCCAGGAAATCCAGCATCTGCTCCAACGAGGTCTTGCCCGGCTTCCAGGACAAGGATGCACAGAACCCAAGCCAGACGCGTCACCCGCCCAGATTCGCCCTCAGTGTCGCCGGTGCCCTGTCTAAAAGCAATTGCAGGATCCTCTCCTGACTGCAATCCCCCAGCTCAAGTAGAAGTTCGCTGTCCCGTCTGACAAGTCCTACAAAAGCTACCCAAACACCAGCCAGGCGCCTACGCTCTTTGTCCTCGCGGTCAGCTAGACAGGATGTCCAACCTGGACCTCCGGCCAGCGTTGCCCCTGCAAGCTTTGCCGTCATAGCAGTCATAGCACCACTGATGTTCGCTGGTTCCACGCTTCTGCAACCCTCTGGCGCACCCGAACTCGCCGTGCACAAGCGGAATGGGTTGTGGAACACGAGAAGTAACCCTTCCGAACCTGCTTCAGCGGCCGCAGACCATGTAGCAACCGCAAGACAGACACACGAAGCAACTTTGATAAACTATCGGCTGCAGTGATCGGCCGCAGGCAGATCAAACAAGGAAGTCAAAGCAACATGCTGACACTTCGCATGACATGCAGAAGTGATCGTACCACACGAGGCGTGAGGTAGCCCTTGTAATCCCTAAGAAGGACTGCTAGTAGAAGGGAAACATCCCAACCCCAAACCCTCAACATCCCTAAGCCCTGTTTTTGCCCTAAAACCGTAAACCCAAAAACATCAAAACCCTAAACCCATCCTAAACCCCTCCTAAACCCTAAGCCCCTCCTTTTTGCTTTTAAACCCCTCCTTAACCCCTTTTTGAACCCGTCCTTAACCCCTAAACCCTGAATCCAGAATTCCGAGACTTCCCAATTCGAGTTCGAACTCCAGATTCGAGGCGAACTCTAAAGCTCAGAACCCTGAGTTTCGGAGTTTCGGATTGAGAGTTCGTGTTTGGACCCCGAGTTTTCATGAGTTTTCAACCACGAAGCTCCCTAACCCTGGGTTCGGACGCTCAGATCAGCCATCGTCCAGCAGACTCAAGGCCATGGCATGCTGAGAATGCGAAAACTCTTCTCATGGCTCGGCCGAAGTCACGACCTACATCCTCTTCTCTGCAATCGCAAAAAGTACGCAGAGAAAAAAAAGACTGTATTTTACTTCGAGCATCCCCACCTTGGTTTTCGTTAAAAGGAAACAGCGCAACTAGGAGGTTCAAACAAAGCCACATTGACTCAAATACGTTTTCTTAGTTTTTGCTTGCAATTGGGGGGTTGGGCACTCCAGGGAGTCTCTGCGATTGGGCACTCCAGGGCGACTCTGGGGTTGGGCATTCCAGTGGTCTCTGGGGTTGGGCACTCCAGGGAGGCTCAGACCGGGAGAAGAGTTCCGAGTGGGGAGAAGAGTTCCGGGCGAGGAGAAGGGTTGAGTTTAAAATCTAACAAGCCCCACACCGAAGGTGGGGAAAAGCGCCAGGCCAGGCGCCACAAAGAATGTGGAGAGCTTTCAAATGCAGCACAGGCACGGACTCTCCACATTTCGAAGAGAAGACAGATGAAGGCTGCTCAGCTGCTTTCCTCGGACGAAAGGAAGTTCGGAAGCCGAACACAGGACTCAAAAACCCTACTGAGAGGTTCATTGGGGCACTTAGAAGTAGTGCTATAAGTAGGGTAAGTAGAGTTTGAAATGGGTATAACCTTGTTCAGGGTACCTCTAACCACACACGGAAGTGCCCCTGAACCTACAAGTAAACCCTGGATCATCACGCCCAAGCTGCTTTCGTCCACGTACATGTCCAAGTAAAAGGAGTTGCTTTCGCAAGCATTCTCGGCGTTCCGAAGGTGCGCTTCAACGACTTCTTCCGGCTCGGAGTCTGGTGACATCACCACGTGGTGGGAAATGTACCTCACACATTACGATGGCATGCACAGGCCACCACTAAAGCAGGGCTACCGGCGGTTCACAGCACGATTGGGTTTGTCTTGCGCCGAAGTCGACTCTGAGCGGACACCGGGACAAAAGGCCGAGTAGCTCGCCTCGAGGCCCTAAGTTTACCCTCGCTGGAACCCCGAGACCCTAAACCCTAAACCCTAAAACCTAAACCCTAAACCCTAAACCCTAAACCCCCCCCCCGCCCCCCCCCCCGCACCCCACCCCACCCTGGTCTGTTGCTTTGGCCTCTGGACCCTGAACTTTACTTGAAACACCCCACTTACACCTGGCGCATGCTGCTCCCCGCATTGGGCCAGCAACCACCTAGCAAACTACCACACGTGTGTACTACGAGTACTGTTGCTTGCATCTTCTCATCTCCCTCCCTAAACCCTAAACCCCAATCCCGAAACCCTAAACCCTCAACCCTACACCCTAATGACCAAACTCTAAACCCCAAGCTCTAAACCCTAAACCCTAAACCCTTTTGCAACAGGCTTCGCAGTTCGCCTGGATTGCCCTTAGAACCCTAAACCCTAAACCCTAAACCCTCAACCCAAGTAGCTCGTTGGCGTACTCAATGTACATTGCGGCACAGACTGGGGAGTTGGCCCTCAGTGGACCATTTGTAAGAAAAAGAGTAAGCATGGTTTTTTTTGGCCACCCACTTAGCTGGGTTTAGGGTTTAGGGTTTAGGGTTTAGGGTTTAGGGTTTAGGGTTTAGGGTTTAGGGTTTAGGGCTTAGGGTTTAGGGCTTAGGGCTTAGGGCTTAGGGATTGAGGGCTTGGGGCTAATCATGATCTCATCATGATGGTGATAGTAAGAATGATACTTAGAGAGAGCAATAAGAATAAGGATACGAACGATAAGAATGACAGTACCGCAACAGTAATGAAGATACTACTGGCCGTAATACGAACTGTGATAATGACAGAAAACGGGCCAAAAAAATTACCCTAAACCCTAAACCCTAAACCCTAAACCCTAAACCCTAAACCCTAAACCCTAAACCCTAAACCCTAAACCCTAAACCCTAAACCCTAAACCCTAAACCCTAAACCCTAAACCCTAAAACTAAACCCTAAACCCTAAACCCTAAACCCTAAACCCTAAACCCTAAACCCTAAACCCTAAACCCTAAACCCTAAACCCTAACCCTAAACCCTAAACCCTCAACCGCGAAGCATCTCTTACTGTGACATGGCCACGGCTCAGAACCGCCGCAAGCTTCGAGCTGGTGAGGACGAAAACCTGGGCAACAGCAGGGGGTTTAGGGTTTAGGGTTTAGGGTTTTAGGGTTTAGGGTTTAAGGGCGTCAAGACATGCCATGACATGCCGTTACCGCTGTACAACTCTTTGAACAAACTGTCCACATCTTCTCCGCACCCCGGGACACCGTCCTCACTGAGGCTGTCGCTTCCGTGAA